AGGATTTTTCTGTCTTAATTTTGAAACAACAAAAATAGTGTGGCATGTTAGTAAAGCAGTTATGAAAAATGAACAACAGATTAAGGATTCAGATTAAATCCATGGATTTTTTTCTAATTTCATACATATAGAGACCAGCATAATTGGACACATCAAATTAAATCAAACAACAACAAAAAAGAACCCATTTGAACATATTTGTGTAGTAGTATAATTTTCCATACCAACCATTAATGAGCATCTGCAGCTGAAACATTTAAGAAAACCTTATTTTTTAAATCTGGGAAGTTGGATTAAATGTGCTTTTGTTTTATTAGCAGCGTTTTATCACTCAGTTAGCTAAAATGCTGCAGAACTCTAAATATCTAGTAGGAAAACTTCTGCTCATCTCTGCTAAAGTTTGCGTTACGGTTGAACACAGAAGCAGGTCGGTGGTAAAAGTGGTCCGACTTTCATTTCTCAAATCCAACTTCCCCGCGTTTTGTTTTTTTCCACTGTGGTTTTATTGTGAAACTGTCTGACCCATTTTAACTCTGATTTTAGTTTTATCCTTCAAAATAAAAGTCTCAGCTTGTTGATTTTAGCCAGTGGCTTTAAACTTTGCGTGGAACTCTGAAAAACCATATTTAATGATTATTTCTGATTATGATCAGTCAGTCTGAGTTTTTCATGCAGGCCGAACATGAAAATAGTCTCCTACATCTATCTCCTGCTCTAGGATTAGAAAAGCCTGCAGATCTACGCCACACTGTCACCTAACATTCACCCATCTTACCTCGCGACGGGGAAGGCTGTGGTTGGTTTAGCATCCAGGAAACAACAGAGAATGTCTCCACTAGCACAAGCTAACTGTTAGCATTAGCAACTCCACCACACAGCAGAACTCCTCCAGGCTTGTGTTATTTGTGGAGATTAAACATTTAGGTTGCAGAGAACAGAGTCAGTGGTAGAGTCGTGTTGCTGTTAGTAAATTAGAGGCAAGATGTCCAAATATCAGGAAATAAGACTCCGAACCCTGCCGTGTTTGCCACCTCTTCTGCAGCAGACTGATCCAAGCGCTCCTGGGCTTTCATGCATATTCAGAGTATAACTCGCAAGACATTTATTCCTACCAGAGACCACTGCAAAAGAACGGGTATTGACTAAACGGGTTTCACCTTTAAATGTGTTATTTTCCTGCTGCTAAACATGAATGAATGATGATTTTGGACATTTAAAGGGACTTTACGGAGTTTTGAATTTTTATGCTCGTGATCGCCCCCTCAGGCCAAAAGCGTAACGGCAGCTTCAATAGTAGGCTCGTGCACGAGGCGCGCGTGCTGTACGTGCACACTTCTTAACGAAAATAACAGCTGAGACAGTCCTGTCTGTGTGTGTGTGTGTGTGTGTGTGTGTGTGTGTGTGTGGCCCGGAGGATGGAGGACAGGAGAACGCGCAGCTAATTAATTAAATAATGTGGTTCTGTACCTTTCTCTTCAGCACAGCCGACAAAGGTTTATGATGGGCCAGTCCTCCTGCATGCTCAGATCATTCCCTTCCCTTGCTTGAAAAATTGTTCCAAAATGAAAGTAGAACCCACATCTTTTTTATCTGTGAATTCAATGCCGTTCGGCGAGTCTCAAATAAAAATTTGGGCATCTTACTGTAAAAAATATACCATTAATGTAAAAAATAATCTCTAAATAAACTATGTTCACACCCAGAATCAAACCCAGGACTTCTGCACGGAGTCCAACATCTTACCAGGCGAGCTAAAGCGCCAGTGACATCTTTTGTATCTGTAACATTTATATCCTTGATGACAGCTGAAACAACGTTCAAAGAACGGTTCGGAGTGAAAATGGCTATTTTGTTGCTAATTAGCAGGAAATATCTAGAAGAAAGTTCTGCAGAAAGTAGCTAAGGGTCCTCAGAAATGTAGCTAGCTTTGTCACTAGGCGTTAGGAACAGCGACAAAGTGGCACTGCCTCTCTCTCTGCTGCTAAAGCTACGGATAGCAAATGCTACGGGCGATGCCTGAGCGTGAACGCGCATGAAGCAGCCTGCTCGACCCGAGCATCTCTCTTTTTCTGTGATTTTACAGAAAAACAGGCAATCACAGTAAAAATGCCAGGGCTCATTCTACAGGACCAGGGCATTGCAGGAGAATGTATGAAGAAGACATTTATTATTTTTATACATGTTTTGGCTGTCAAACTTCCATAATGTCCCTTTAATGAAGAAATAAAATGGGCCCTCACCATCTGTAGATCATCCACCTGGGAGCAGCAGACGTGTAGGACCGGATATGATGAAGAATGATGTGAGTTATGGATGAAAACCTACGAGGAGTTCATCAATATTATCTTTGATCTTTAACTTTTCTCAGGTTTTCTAACACTGAAAAAAATTAAAGCCCTAACAGACTGTAAGGGACTTTTCCCAACAGTGTTACAACTTTGGCTCCTTCCATGTTTGGGGTGTGTGTGTGTGTGTGTGTGTGTGTATGCGTGTGCGTGTGTGCGTGTGTGTGAGTGGGATCTCCCAGGGCTTTTTGGCTTCTCTGTTGCAACACACACATTCTCCAGAAATTCACTAGTTTGATATTTATAGCGTCATCGGCTGGCGTCCGTCACCGTGGCAGCCTGAAGTGAGAAGCGGGATGTCGGGAACCACAAACCTTCTTCTCGTGTTGCAGCTTTCTGACGGTTTCAATGCAGAAACAGAATGTGGGTCAGAGAAACGTATTCAGACACAGGCGAAGGGCGTTCCAGAGCAATTTGGTTTAAAACAACCACAAGTGCAGGAATTACACTGTTACCTCACAAGATATGGGAAAAAAATCACTATTTCTTTTAGGATAAACTTGACTAAAGGAATCCTGTCATGTCTATTTGTGAGGAATTTTCCTCAATAAAATGCTGATTATTATCAGTATTGCACTCTCAGCAGGGTTATTTTATGGTGCTCTTGGAGGGTAAAACCTTAAATATCAGCATACTTTAGGAAAATGTATGTTTCAGGGTTGTGATGAAACCTTAAAACACTTTAAAAGGCTTTTCTTATGTTTTGAAAGTACTTCAAACTATACATGCACCTAAAATAAATAAATGAATAAAATTCAGCATGATCGATGGTTGGAGACTCTGTCAACGCACCGATGCTGAGCAGCACCATCGACATATGCAATGGGTTTCCATAGGCTCCAATAACACGTTTTTGAGGGGAAATGGGAGGTGGCCACCACCGCCATTTTGACCGTGTCACAGGTTCCATCAAGCCCAGACAATTCCACAAAAGGGAAGAGAGGTGGAGCTGAGGGTGGGGCTGTAAGGCTGGGATCAACTGACGACACCCGGTCGAACTAGCTACAAGCTAACCTGAAGCTAACCCAAAGCTAACGCGGAGGTGGGAGCTAAGCTAATGGAGGTAGCAACCTAGCTACAACCGGAGTTAACTGTGCACAACACCAGAGCTTCTGAGTCAGAGATACGCCGGGCTGACCGCTGGGTAAAACCGGGTGGAACACAGAGGTCCCGGAGAGCTCCACAAGCCGGCAGCCGCGCAGCAGACAAGCACCGCTGCGATCTGAGATGCGCAGAGCTGCCGCTGGGGAGAACCGGGTGGAAAGGTTTCCATCCCAGAGCTCCACAAACCGACAGCCCGCGCAGCAGACAGAAGCTGTGCCGAGCTGCGGGGAGGGGAGAACCGGGTGGAAAACATCGGTCTCCCGAGAGCTCCACAAGCCGATAGTGGGAACCCAGCTCCACCAACATGTTATATTTCAACCCATTTTCTAAAGTGCAGCATTATGTTAAATGCACTGGGTTTTACCCTATTACATTTAAATTTCATGGTTAAACAGTACATGTTAAAATCTAAGCTCAGCTCGGCAGTGACCTAAAATACATAAATATAATTTTACTTACCGAAAAAAATGAAGTGGAGACTCCTTGGACGCTCTATTAGTGCAATTAATGCCACAGCAAGTCATTTTGTCCAACAATTGCACAAAAATATCCAAAACAGAATACACAAACACAGAGACTCAAAATCCCGGAGCAGTTTCCAGACCAGACCGAGGCTCTACTGAGGCCTTTCCACGGAGCTAGCTCTGTGGTCACGTGGGTCTGATGCTCATTAATTATACAGAATTTTAGGCTTTTAATACACTTAAACAGAAGAGTGAGAAAAACATTCACCCCCCTCAGAGTTGTCATGAGTGTAAACTAGATCATTTAAACCAAAAACATGTTTTGGTACCAGGCTGTAAACATGTTTATTTCTGCTGTGAAATTGGTATTTTTAACATGGGAGTCATTGAGGATTTGCTCTCTTCTGACACCAGCCCCTAGTGGATGAGGGTGGAACTGCAATTTATTTCACTTCCGCGTTGGACTCAATTTCTGTCCCGCATTGTGGGGGCTTGAGCAGCACTGAGAAATCTGCCCTTGTCTTCTGGTCTGTGAACCGTCCAAGTTTACTTCTAGAAAAGTCATTCAGCGCAGTTCTTTGAGATTTATTAAATCATATCTTAACGTTTGTGGAACGAGGAAGTGAAATAATTGTTTTTAGGTCATTGTTCATGGGTCTAAATTCTCACCAGAGCAGGAAAATCCCACAAACCTGCTCTGAAGGTGCATGAGTTTGATTTCAGCTTGCCGTAAATCCCCGCTCCTCTCTGCTGGAACAACAGAAAGTCTTTTTGTTTTATTTTCTCTTCACCGAGGCACTCCAGCATCCCACGCCGGCTCTGTCTACTTCCTGTTAAGATTCCTGGGTCACTTGAGGAGTTTCTGTTGGTCCTAAAAAGGGAACTGATGCAATCCTGGAGTAAAGCTGCTGGTTGTCGTTTTAGACGTCTAACCTTAACTTGAACTAGCTACAGGAAGGAAGGAGCGCATCCTGAAATGAAATCTGAGCTGATGTTCAAACAAAGTTTCTCTTACAAAGCCGGTTCTGTGGTAGTCCTTCCTTTTATTGGAGATAATATTTTTATTTGTTCTCTGCTTCTTCTACAGATTGTTAGAATGGACAGATAACAGGAGAGATAAGATGTCATTCTTTGGTCTGGATTGTCTCACAAAGACAGAAAGAGGTCAGCTTTCAGCAGTTTTCATATATCTATAACTACATTATTATAAATGTTGATGAAAGTGTTTAAAGAGTTAAAAATAAGGAATATTGGAAACACTTTAAAATAACTACATCTTATTTAGCCTTAATTACACATGAACAAACATGTAAGTAACTACTAATAAATAATTAATTAACAAGGGACTAATCATTATAAACAAAGCATTAATTAATGCCTTGGTTAATTGTTTATTCAGTAAGAGTCATTGTTAATTATTTATTTGTTAGTAGTTACTTACATGTTTGTTCATGTGTAATAAGGCTAAATAAGATGCAGTTATTATAAAGTGTTACATGAATATTTAACAAATGACATGAAGATAAAGGAGATTTTATCTCCATAGTGTGTGCCTTGCTTTAATCAGGCCTATATCACATGACCGAATATCACTGCACAATCATTCCAAGCAGTGGCGTGTCCAGATCTTTTAAAATGGGGTGGCCCAGGTGAGGCACAACTTTGTGCATGGTGGCACCAATGGTTGTGCCCTTTTGTTTTACACCCAAGCCTTTTGAGGACAATGAAAAGTCTTTTTTTTAGTTTATTTTAATTTTATAGACAAATAAAAACAAACACAAAACAGGTTTGCAAAAATAAAAACAATGAAAAAGGAACAGAAAGAAGCAAAACTTATATCTGTCCCCCTTAACCAAAATAAATACAAATGACAACAAAGTTATTATAGTTAAAAAAAATGTCAATTTACCTTTAAATTGCGAGACAATTTAAAGGTAAGTTAGTGTGGTGGCACCTGGGGTGGCCAATCAGATTCCAAGGGTGTCATGTGCTACCCCAGGCCACTCCCTGGACACGCCCCTGATTCCAAGGGAAAATGTACACGTTTTCATGCATTTTTTGGTCTCTAACTAGTTGCATCACAGAGACTTTGGTTTAAACTCCACCAGTTGTCTTAAATAATCTTCTGTTTGTCTTTCTAAACCAGAGCTGGAGAGAAAACTCAGAGCCAACGACCGCGAGCACAATCGCTCCTTCAGATATGCGGTAGGTCTTGTGTGTTCTTCACGTTCTGTTGTTTTCTGACTCCTGGAGTAGAACGGCTGCACAGCGGATGCAGCCCGCGTAGACCAAACATCTTAGCGTCACTTGGTGTTTTGTTCATGCACATGGAAAATCACTTCCCCCCGAGGCGGGTCTTCATTTGTTTGTGTCTGTTTGATATCGGGAGACTGGATGTCGGCCAGATCAGAAAGCTAAAGGATGACACTAAGGAATAAAACCTGGAGGTTTTAATAAAACTTGAGCGAAATATTTCCCAAAGTGCCAAGAATTAGAGTACGTGTTAGGAGATGTCTTCTGCTGGATTAAGGAGCATTTGTCATGAAACTGGAGAACATGGTAGACAAATAACTTTACTGTTTTAAGGAAACTCTGATTGTTTTACAGAAGATTTTAAAGCCACATTGCAACAAATTAATCTGATTTAAAGTAAATAAAAGAAAAAAAAACTTGGTTAATGAAAGATAAATATTTTTTCTTTTTTTCTTTTTTACAATTATTTTAATCTATCAGTATTTTTTGTTTGGTCGTATATAAGTGAAAAAACCATTCACTTTAAAAGTATGACCCTCCTGCTCGTAGAACTCCCAGCCTTACATCCTGCCCGATCATAGCCTCCTGACCTTGTTTCCACGCCTGAGCCTTGCCAAGAACTCTGCCTGCCACCACGACCCTCGCCTGCCTTCCACTCTGCCCTTACCTGAGTATTACCCTGGTAACGTCTCCTCATAGCTTCAGGCTAATAAAGACTATTTGTCTTACTGGGTTTGGCGTCTTCACGGGTCCTCCAAGTTCGGGTCTTGGCACAAACACAGCATTTAAGTTCTCACAACCTGGCCCTGAGCTCTCGCCATTCAGAAAACTCCCGATGCTGACTCTACGACCGCTTTAAGACTCGTCTGTTTTCAGCTGCTTTTAATTCGGTTTGAGGTTTTTATGTCATGTTTTTATTTCTGTTACTATTAAAGCCTCCGACGCTCCACCATGATGAACACGTAACCAGGCAATTAGAGCTCGTCTGTCCAGAGCTGTAAACATAGATTACCGTAAAGCGATACTGCTTCACACAAGAAACCTGACTTCAGGGGAGCGGTCCAGACACTCTGAAGTTGCAAGTGCGGTATTCTGGCCACAGAGGGTGGTGGGGGTCTGAGTGACAGTTCATTGACCCTGTAAAGGGTCGTTTTAGCAAATACTGGCACAAAAAATGATTTTAAAATGTGAAAATGTTGCATATATATATAAATATGTATATACATATTTATATATATATATATATATATATATATATATATATATATATATATAAATATATATATGTAAAACACATATATTTATGTGTGTTTATATAATGTTATTATACACATACATTTACGTTTCTGAGATGTTTCCCATCACTGTCACATGACTAATCAATTCCCCCCCCCCCCCCCCCCCCCGAAACAAATACACAAATAAAAACAAGATGGGAAAAGTATTGATTGCTGATATCAGCCCCGTTTCATTTATTGGACCGGTACCAATGTGTTAAAAAATGACTAACATCAGCTGATACCGATGCATCTTGTATTATTATTATTATTATTTAATCATCTTCTTTTTTAACCCTCGGTCTCACCTTTCTTCTACTTCTCCCTCCTTTACAGACGAACGCCATCAAAACCTCTAAGTACAACTTCTTCACCTTCCTTCCTCTCAACCTGTTCGAACAGTTTCAGAGGATCGCTAACGCCTACTTCCTCGTGCTGTTGGTGCTTCAGGTGAGGCAATCTGACGCGCACGTATGCACGCACCGCGCACGCAGACCTCAAGGCATGCAACCACACACACGCACACACACAAACCCACATGTACACACACACCACCTTCAGATTCAAATGAAACCTTTTCCGGATTTTGTTCTTTTTTGAACGTCTCACACACATTTCTGACTTTCTCTCACATCTTTGTTCTCACAGAAAGCACACGCTCTACCCAACCACACAGGAAAAATGACAAGCTGAGAGCAGAAAAAGTAAAGGAAGTGCGATATCCAGTACAGGAAATTACCTCATCGCTTGCTAAACAGACATTTTGCACCACAGAGCTCACGGAGAATGGCTGATCTGCTGATAGAAAAGAACTAAAGAGTTTCTGTTTTAACGTTTATGAATGAGAAAATCCTTTTTCAGTAAGATCCTGCATCGTTTGAAACACAACAAGCGTACATTAAAGGGCATTTTATTGCTGAGCTTCATGCACACACAGCTTTCTTTCTTGAAACACATCTTTTAAAAATACACCCACAGCTTAAACCTTCTGTTCAAATTCCAGTGTTGGGAGTAGCGTGGTACAAAAGTAATTAATTACTGTAATGCATTGCTTTTTGCTGTAATGTGGTAATGTAAGGCATTACAGGGAAAGTAAACGGTAATATTTACTCGGTAATATTGTCAGTAACGCGATAATTACAAACCCAGAATCAAGATGTGGGTTTCCTAAAAATTCAAATAGCGGGAAGCCTGAAAAAAGATCCAGTATCCACATATATGACGTCATTTATGGACTCAGCTTTGCGGGCATTCTATGAGCAGAGAGGACGCAGCGGTAACGGCTCAAACACTCCAGCTGCGTCCTGCGCGCGGCCGCTGTTATATTCACAAAATCGCTCCACCAAAACAAAATAATTCGTTTGCGATCGTTCATATCAGCCCATATTCTCTGGTACTTCATGTACTTTTCAGCTGAGTTCATAATCTGTGCCCCGGTGATTTCAACTCATTGCTGCTGGAGCGCAGCGCAGATTAAGCTTTTTTTGCCCTTTGGCTGATTAGTTAGAAAGTAGGAAATCTAGGAAACAGTTTTTCTGGAAGACGGAGAAAACATGCAGCATGCAGGAAGGTTATAGAGAGAAAGGGCCGGAAATAATTCCCATAAAATCAAGAAAACAAATCAAAGTGCTTGAAAAGAAAAAAAAGTAGGTAGATTTATCCCCAACGCACATTTTTACCAGTGAAAAGCAATAATATATAAGCATTTAATATTTATACATGTGATAGAATCAGATCACCCCAGAAGTCAGTCCAACATCCAGGGCCGTATCAAGGCATTTGGGCACCAAGGCAAATATAGGCTTGGAGCCCCCACCACCCCACTCCCTGCTCAGTTAATCTAAGATGGCAGCGCGCTGAGAGCACAGATTGTTGTTGTTTTTATTTAGTAAACAATCATTTTAAAGCACTGTTATTATATCTGACTGTTTTTAACAGCAATCCTAGCTCAGACACCACATCACCTTCCACATATATGTCATGAGCTCACTGAGCGTCACATGACCAGATCCATACTGAAGTTGTTTTGGTGAAAGTAACTTAAAGTAATGCAAAAGTAGTGTAATGCCTTACATTTTAAAATTAGTAATATTGTAATGTAATGAATTACTTTAAAATAAGGGTAACAAGTAATAAATCATGCATTACCGTTTTTAAGTAACTTGCCCAACACTGGTCATATTCTCACCTCTGCGTCAGGATGTTTGCAGGCAGTGTCTAAGAACAAGAAATGTGCACTTTGTGCACGAGTTTCCCTGACTTTTACTTTCTGTTTTAGAGTTTCTGTGTTCCTCCCGTCTCCACCAACAACAAGCATGAAATAAAAAAAAACATGTTCTGTATTTTTGCTTCTCAGGTCATCCCTCAGATCTCCTCACTGTCCTGGTTCACCACTGTCGTGCCCCTCATCCTCGTGCTCACCGTCACCGCTGCCAAGGATGCCACTGACGACATAGTAAGGAGATTTTAGATCATTTATCGACGGACCTGAACATCAGGTGTTACTTCTCACGTTTAAGAAAAAGCATAAAAGAAGGTATAAAGAGTTTAATCTTGATGTAAAATCCTGTTTTTCACGTTAAAGAGTAAGTCACCCCCCTACCAGAGTCAGACTCCACTCCCACTTCCTGTTTGAAAAATGCAAAAACTCCTGTTGCCTAACAGACCGAAACGGCAGAGTTGCTAACAAACACACACACACACACACAGGCTCACAACAACATTGTGACATCATAATGTACCAGCTAAAATCATAGTGTACCTATTAGCCAATAGTGATTTTACCTGAAGACGACACAACAATGACAGTTTCAGGCAGAATATTTAAAATTTAACTAAGATGCACTAAAGTAACAAATTATTGGCTACCGTGTCCGCAGCATGACTAGAGACTTGTTTATATCGTTTATCAACAAAAACAAGTCTATTTGGAGGTGAGTTGCTCTTTAACTGACAGGAACAATACGGACACCAAAAGGTATAAATATTAAAATCATAATGTTTATATGAACTGGTGTAAAACTCTGAATATCAAGGAGCTGCAACGTTGATCCTCTGGAGACTTTTCTTCTGCATCAGCAGCAGCTTTTAAACCATCCCTGTTATCTAGCAGATAGGCTTTTAAAGAGTTTATTTTTTAGTCAGTTATTAATGGTGATGTAATAGTTTTTGCATGAACTGCCCTAAAACTCTCCTTATCCAATCCAAACGTGTTATTTATATAACAAGGATGCAACCAAAGGGTGGGAGCGTGCACCCACAGTTAGAAAAATACATCATAGTGACATCAAACTGAGGCCCTGTCCACACGTAGCCGGGGATCTGCCGAAACGTAGATATTTTTCTACGTTTTGGCCTGTCATCCACACGAAAACGGAGTTTTTTCACACGAAAACGGATCTTTTTAAAAACTCCGGCCAAAGTGAAGATCTGCGTTTTCTCCATTTTGGGTGTCTGCGTGTGGACGGACAAAACCGGAGTTTTAAGGTCCGCAACGTCACTTTCCACGACAAAAAAAAGCTGACATCACGTGTGCGACCGGTGTTTACACTAGCCGACAGCATGGATGCCCTCAGAGCTGCGCTCGCTTCATCAATCGTCCAAGCGCTTTTTGCTTGTTTGTTTTTGCAAGAGGAATTACTGCTCCTTGTGGAAGACCACAGACGAAGGACGAGGTTAAGAACGGGGGAAGTACTGCCGCCTACAGGTCTGGCATGTCCTTAACAACGTATTTATCCGGGTACGTGTGGACAGGGTTTTTTTTTAAACGAGGTGGTGTGGATGCAAGTTTTTGGAGGGGCGGATATTCGTTTAAAAAAAAACCCGGCTACGTGTGGACTAGGCCTGAGATGAAATACCCACATCTAGTTAAGTTTTAATTTATCGCAAGTGATATCGTCATCGCAATATTAATCATGGTTATCGAATATCGCAGGTTTTCCTAACATCGTTCAACCCTAAAATCCATTCGTTTTTGTTCCGTAGAAACGAACAAAACGGTGAATAAAAAAACAACAAAATCTGTTTGCTTTGTGGTAGGGATACACCGATGGATCGGCATTTGATCCCAATCGGCCGATAGCGCCCCTATCGGTTTTGATCGGAGTTTTCAAAATAGATCAAAGCAGACCGATCAGACCATTTTAGATTAGGTTACATTTCCTTTTTTCCCAGATTATGTAGTTTGTAGCACTCATTATAATGTTGTAGAAAATTTCTGGCCAATCCACGTGATCGGTATCGGTGATCGGTATCGGTGATCAGCATTCTTTGATATCGGTATCAGTGATCGGCAGCAAAAAACCTGATCGGTGCATCCCTACTTTGTGGCTCATGTCAGCATGTGTGTTAAACTTCATCAGCTGTTTGTGGGAGAGCCTCCTAATCATTAATCATTTGACAGATGAAAGACCGTCACCCTGTTCCCACAGAGTTTATGTAATGATTAAGATCTTATCAGACACCTCTGGGATTTTCCAAAGTATAAAAATGTTTTTTAAGTCATGAACTCGTCTGGTCGTGGTGAATCACTCCGGTGGCCACATTCCTGGCTTCGCTTTACATCTTGAATGATGTCATCTGGGAGTTGATGGAGAAATCATCGAAGCCCCCCCCCCCCGCAAGACCAACACCTATAACCACACAAGTTCATCTAAAAGTCTTTACTTTTAATTCAGGATCCAAATGGGGTTTTCATTCTAGAAGCGTGTGTTTGTTCGAGGGTCGTTTGAGGACGCAACACCAGGTATTTCAGAGGCCACTGCTGAGGTTTAATAGGTGATGCGACGGGTTTGAACGTTAGCTTGAGGAGGAGAAACGAGAGGCTCAGTGTGAACCTGAAGGTTCAGAATTTTGTGTTGCAGCTCAGCGAGATTCAGATTTAAGAGTTTAATATTAAACGAGGTTATTTCGTTTTGGACTTGAAGGTGTTTCGAGTTACCTTGACAGGTTTCGACCGTCGTCTGCGGTCTTCCTCAGAAATGTCACAGATGTTTGCGTGACGCGTCTTTATCAGCTGTTCTTCTGGTGGGCGTGACCAACCCGGATGTCACGCCCACCTCCGCTGGCTGGTCTTTGGAGAAGGGAATCCCAGGTGCGAGACAGCTGATTGGCCCCCTCGTCTCTGTTCATGTTCCACTGTTCCCGTTGCCTCCCCGACCCAACGTTTGAACCGGTTGTTCTCCGTGTTGATTATTTTCCCTTGATCCCGGTCCATGATGTGGTTATTTCGTTTGCAATGATCTGAGATGGTTGACTTGAGGGTTTGCTCCTCTGCTTTTTTCTTTGTTGTCCTTGTGAGTCTTTCTGTTGTTTCCTTCTCGCGTTCCTTCTGATGCTCTTTTCTTCTTACGTCACATGTTCTGCCAGTTTCCCCACGTATGTTTTATTGCACGACATGCAGGGCATTTCGTAGATTACATTACATTTCTTGTCTGGTTCTGTTTTGTCCCTGGGGTGGACTAGTAGCTGTGAGTTTCATGTGAGGTTTGACGGTTGTGTTGGTTTGTTGTTTTTTCATGGCCCTTTGTGTGCGTTCGGTGACTCCCCGTGATTTTCTTTGACTTGTTGTTTTCCTTTTTTCTATGGCCCATTTTGGATTCATAGTGCTTGTTTGACGTGCTCTTCTTCCTGTCTGCTTCATCTGTAATGAAGCTGGTCCGTTCGACACACCTTCATGTCTGAGACCAAGAGAACCTCGTGTAATATTAAAAAAAGAGGTCATAATGAACATTGTGAAGGATTTAAGAGTTTAAGTTCACAAACATCCTAAAACTCCTGAATTTTTATTTGGTGTGATTTACAAGAAAAACAAGCTTAGCTATTACAGAGTAGTCGACGCTCACAAACATGAACAAAATGTTACTTAGATAAAAATGGAATTAAATAAGAAGGACGACAAACTTCTTAAAAAAAGAAAAACACACACGGTGGAGGGACTATGTCTCTCACCTGGCCAGGGAACGCCTTGGGATTCCCCCGGAGGAGCTGGCCCAAGTGGCTGGGGAGAGGGAAGTCTGGGCCTCTCGGCTTAAGCCTGAGTCATGCTTCTGCGTCACGCACGGACGGACGGAGACATTTTGCCCTCGTACTTCTCCGTCTCCTGGGGAGTGTTGCAAAGCAATTCCCCGCCAGGACACCAGAGGGCGTAGCGCTGTTCTGTGGTATCCTGTCATGTATCGGTCCAAGATGGTGTGTTTATATTATGTTTTTTTTTGTATATAAGAGACTTTTTAACACAGACAAATTTTTCTCTCATCCTCCTCCACCTCTTCATGCGCTCGCCACCTCTAAACCCACGTTTCCTGTCATTTCCGTCCACAAATAAAACGCTTGCTGCGCACCTTTTCACTCCTCCGGTCACGGGGGAATTAAACATTCATATTTTAAGAGTTTCTTCGCGCGGTATTCTTCAAGCCGCTCCGTGTCTGCCCCTAGATATCCTCGGCTCTCTTTACGTTTTTGAGGGCGCAATGGCGGCGGTGTAGACGACAGCGGTGCCCTGACCAATCACAAGCTTGCGTTCTCTGTCTTGACGGACGGATGTTTAGAAAAGAGAGCTCGACTCCGTACGTCCTTGCGGGGTTCTCCAGCAGACCCGCAAGGACGGATAATGGCGTTGCGTGTCTCCGCGCTGACGCAGACGCATGAATCAGGCTTTAGGCTGCTGCCCCCGCAACTCGACCCGGATAAGCGGCTGAAAATGGACGGATGGATGGAATAAAAAACTAAACTTAAAGAGCAAGTCACCCCCAAATCAACTATTTTTCCTGATAAACTATAAAAATGCGTGTCTAATCGTGCTGCAGACACGTGTAGTCAGCAGTTTAGCACTTTAGTGCATTCTAGTTAAAATTTAAATTTTCTGCCTAAAACTGTCAGTGGTGTGGCGTTGTCAGGTAAAAACTCTGCCATTGCTATGGGCTAAGAGGTACCCTAGAACGTTAGCTGGTACCATATGATGTCACAATGTCGTTGGGAGCCTGTGTGTGTGTATTTGTTAGCGGCTCCGCCCTCTCGGTCTGCTAGGCAACAGCATTTGTTGCCCTTTTCAAACAGGAAGTGGGAGTGGAGTAATACTCTGGTAGGGGGTGACTTGCTCTTTAAAGTCAATATCAAGTGTCTCTAAACAAGGTCTAATTTGAAGAGACATTTCTTCTAGAGCAATGTCCACATACGAGGAGGTTCTTCTGAGGTTAAGAGTGAAGAAGTCTCAGTTGAAGGAAGTGATGATGCTGTTTAAACTTTAACCTCGAGTCATTTTAGATGTTTGTGAAAATTTTCTTAAAGTGTCGATGGGGAACTGAAAAGAAAAAGTTTAGATTCAGCTTTTATTTCCTCTGGAGCTTCATGTCTGACAATAAGGAAGTAAATATTTTAACTTGTTCTGATTCTTTCAGAATCGCCACCGAAGCGACAACCAGGTGAACAACAGGAAGGTTCAAGTGCTCATAGACAGAAAGTGAGTATTTGGAAGTCCAACTGTTGGGTTTTATGTCATATTTAATTTAATTTAATTCTACTTAAACAAATCAGGTGAATTTTGTTGTGAAAACATCACAGGATTCCTTTTAAATCTTCACAAGATCGAGCTCTGCCTGAGTTCATGTGGTGTCCAATTTCAAAAAGCAGAAAACAAAATGATGATTTAGCCTCAGCTGCTTCCCGAGGACCCCAACACCTCTAAACCTTTACCTCTTAAGTTCTAGGAGGTTTTGCAAGGAAGTGACACGTATTCTCTTGTAGTCTCTGTTTAGGGTTTTATCGGAAGCAGCTGTGGGATCGTAAGTTTATTTCCTGTTTCTGAAAAAGGCACGGCTCAAGCAGGAAGTTTTATCTTCATGAACGTTTCCTGTTTCTTTATTTAAAAGCCGTTCGTTTGGTTTTGTTGTGGCTTTCAGATCTCCTTTTGTGTTAATTATAATAAAAACGTTTAATCATTTACTGGCTGCTTATTAACACTTGGAATGGAAATGTTTAACCCCGACTGCTTCGAACAGAATCCGCTATAGTGGATGGGGACGATTCAAACCAGCCGCGGCGCCTTCAAACATGATGTCACTCGTGGTGTGTCGCGTAAACAAGCCGTGACCTTTGAAGTCTCGAGGGATTTCGTCCAGCGAGGAGGACGGCGGTGAAGCAGACCCTCCCCGTGTGTGCTGGCACGCTGCGAAACTCGCGAGCAGTGTTGGGAACGTTACATTTAAAAAGTGTTTAGTTATAGTTACTGATTATTTTTGTCAGAAATGTAACTCAGTTACTTACCAAGTTACAAGATTATAAAAGTAGTAAATTACCTAGAAAAATAACTACTTAGTTACCTTTTTCATTAAAGAATGCTAGAAAATGGGTTCCCCTCTTAATTAGACTTACTTAATTTACTATAATTTACTACAGTAGTGAAATATAAACGACTAATGACTGGAACGTAATAAAATGTCCAAATGTTTTTAATAAACCTGAGAAATTTAAATAAATAAGCACTTAACAGGAGGAACTACAAACAGGAACATTACACTAATCTAGACTATTAAAAGGTCACTGTGTGATATTTAATAATCAGCTAAAATTTAAAACTGCAAATAGAAACACCTGTAAAGGTTCCTGAGCCTTTAGACGGTCTCTCAGTCTAGTTAAATTACTGAAATAAATGTAAATTTGACCAGTATTCTAATTTTTCCAGCTTCACATAATTATTAGCAGCATTTCTGTTGCTGCTAATCTAGTAACGGTTAAATAAATAAATAAATAAATAAAATCCTTTAAAATGACACTAGAAGAGGCACAAGCCTGATGGAGGACTTACATTTACTAACTTGGGTCAGACCCAACCACAGAAGAGCTGAAGCTGGGTGGTGAACACACACAGGTAGTTCTGATAACACCTGAGCTCCATGGCGTCTGAGACTGATGCATCAGTGTTACGGCGGGACTAAAGACGTGATCAGGAACAGGTTACAGCTGGATGATCTAGGAAGGTAGAAGATCAGGACGTCTGAGCGGTGAACAGGTGAGCGGACCTTCGGGGCGTCCCGCTAAGAAGGGCACGGCTGCAGATCCACACCTGCAGTCGTAGACTATTCATCACGTCTTCCTCGTTCTCCACGGGCCGTGATGCTCTTGGATGGAAACATCCTACTGTTTATCTCCCTATCAGCTGATGATGGCTTCAACACGCCACGCTGCTGAATCAGAACGCACGCGTTTTCTTATCTGTAAACTGAAACGGCGTTATGATAAAAGAGTAATTACTTAGATTACTCATTACTGAAGAAACAATTTTTTCATTGAAGCCGTTATTTTAAGCACCGTTATTCCGATCACTGTTCGCGAGTAAACTGTTCGCTGTCATTCCGTGATGCTGATACTTGGGGTCCCTCTGGAAGGTCAGAGAGCAGCAGACATACATGAACACTCAGTAAACTGAAGGCTGCATTGAAGCGTGCAGCTGACGTTTGTCTTCCAGCTTTGATGTTCTGGAAGCTCATGAACTCTGTTCTCATTTACTCCAGCCAGGGTTTAAAACGGTTCAGCTATTCACATGCACACACACACACGCACGTACGCATGCACACATGCACGCATGCACGTGCACACACACAGACACACTCACGCATGCATACATGCACGCATGCACGTGTGCACACACACGCAGACACACATACACGCTCACACACACGCATGCGCATGCACACACACACACACGCATGCACATGCACACACACGCAGACACACTCACACACACGCATGCACGCACACACACACGCAGACACACATGCACGCATGCACGCTCACACACACACACGCATGCACATGCACATGCACACACACACGCATGCACATGCACACACACGCAGACACACTCACAAACACGCATGCACGCACACACACACACACACATGCACATGCACACACACACGCATGCACATGCACACACACGCAGACACACTCACAAACACGCATGCACGCACACACACACGCAGACACACATGCACACTCACACACACGCATGCACATGCACACACACACACACACACGCATGCACATGCACACACACGCAGACACACTCACACACGCATGCACGCACACACACACACACGCATGCATGTGCGCACACACACACATGCATGCACATGCACAGACACATGCAGACACACACGCATGCACGCTCACACACAAGCACGCACACACACACACACGCATGCACGTGCACACACACAGACAGACACACACACACACACACACACACGCTCACACACACACACACACACACACACATATGTGCACGTGCGCGCACACACACACACAAACACAAACACACACACACACACGCACACGCACGCACACGCAGGCACACACACACACACACGCACGCACGCACGCGCACGCACGCACACACACACACACACACACACGAATGCACTGATCTGGCATCTCTTCTCAGGCTGCGGAGTGAGAGATGGATGGACGTCCAGGTTGGAGACATCATCAAACTGGAGAACAACCAGTTTGTTACGGTGAGTGAAACATTCATGTTTGCGTGTCGGCTCCACAGCTCTGGTATTTTAGCTTCTTGATGTCTTCTCCTTGCTTGGGATGTTTCAGGCCGACCTCCTGCTTCTCTCCAGCAGCGAACCGCTCAACCTGGTGTACATCGAGACAGCAGAACTAGACGGGTTCGTCCTGACGTCCATCGCTGTCTCCCTGCTCCTTCTTCTTCTTTCCTTTTCATCGTTTTTGTTTTTTTTTTCCTCAGAGAGACGAACCTGAAGGTGCGACAGGCCCTGCCAGTGACCGGAGAACTGGGAGATGATATTGAAAACTTGGCAAATTTTAATGGTGAGACTGGCACCCAGGTGCCTTTCTACCACATCACCGTCACAGCGTTGTAGTTCACTGGTGTTAAAATCAAACCCGCCATGTTTCCCGTTGAGGCGAGGTACGCTGCGAACCTCCCAACAACCGCCTGGACCGTTTCACAGGAACGCTGAGCTACGGCGCTCAGAAGTACCCTCTGGACAACGAGAAGATCCTCCTGCGAGGCTGCACGCTGAGGAACACCGGGTGGTGCTTTGGGCTGGTGCTGTTCGCAGGCCAGGAGACGAAGCTGATGCAAAACTGCGGGAAGAGCACGTTCAAGAGGACGAGTGTGGACCGCCTGATGAACGTTCTAGTCCTCTGTGTGAGCTGCAGCATTATTCCGTGTGTCTTCTGCGTGTTTACTGCAGTAGATCATTCTGATGCAATCAACCTCTTTTTGTGTTTCCTGCAGATCTTTGGTTTCCTCGTCTTCATGTGCACCATCCTGGCTGTAGGAAACTACATCTGGGAGATAAACAAAGGCTCAAACTTCACCGTTTTCCTGCCGCGGGAGAATGACAACAGTGCTGGTTTCTCTGCTTTTCTCACCTTCTGGTCCTACATCATCATCCTCAACACCGTGGTGCCCATCTCTCTTTACGTCAGGTAATCTGTCCACAAACCCCGAACGTCAGATCGTGAGTCGACGCTAAATGTGCGCGTCGTTTGTCAGCGTGGAGATCATTCGGCTGGGGAACAGCTTCTACATCGACTGGGACAGGAAGATGTACTATTCCCGCAGCGACACGCCGGCCGAGGCTCGTACCACCACGCTGAACGAGGAGCTCGGCCAAATCAAGTACATCTTCAGTGACAAAACGGGAACGCTCACGCAGAACATCATGATCTTCAACAAGTGCTCCATCAACGGCAAATCCTACGGTGAGAATTTAGGTGTCTTCGCGCGTCCGAGTTGTCGCTTTGCACTTCAAAATAGCGTTTTTACCCCATTTCCCCTCTGCAGGAGACGTGTACGACTACACCAACCAGAGACTTGAAATTTCAGAGGTGAGTCGATGAAAATATTTGAAAAACAAACCAGATATTTAATTAATTTAAATATTTTTTTTTTCACGCAAGTTTTTCAAATGCCCATTAGTGCGTTCTGAAAGGTTAGTCAGGACTTGATTCGAAACTAGAAAAGCAACAACAAAAATCTGGTGATTCGGCACGGATCACTCAGACGGTTAACATTTTACTGCCTTTCAGTGAATGCATCGTTGCAAAGCAACATTAGAACATCAGACTTTTTTTACTGGTCAGAGAACTCACCACGTGCTAATTAATGCAAACGGATTTGTAAACATTCCAAAATCGGTATCGGCCGGTGTCGGTACAAGATCTGCTCGGGTGCAAAATTGGCTCGGGGTCCGTCGACTGCCGATGACGTCTAAGTAGTTGATTGGCTGAACATGAACCTTACGGAATTACGTAATCACGTTACGTTGGTCCAGGCAAATCTTTCTGTTGGAAAGACGGACAACTTTTACAAAGAAATCCATCATTACCTCTTTGAAAATACACTTTTAGCATAGAGCTGCATGTATATTAGGGCTGAACGATTAACTGCATGTGCAATTAAAATGCGATGTGACAAAAGGAGATTTTCTAATCGCAAAGGCTGCAATTTGGCAGCGAGTGGTTAGCGCAATGCTAATATACATGGAAAAACCCATAAGAATGCTAATGCTAATATCGCCGATTTCATTCTTACAATTTATGAATTAGAAACGTGCCAAATGATTACATTTGGAGTCTAATAGAAAGTAAAACTACCATCAATCAAATAAGTACAGACAGGTATTTTAGTAAAGCCAGAAAACTTTTAACTCCAGAGTTTTGGCTAGCAGCTATGAGCGTACCTGAACTACGCATGGACAAGACGTCAAAAACTCTAAACACAAAATACTTCAATAAACGGGACACACTTGTTTCCTGCAAATACAATTTCACAGGTGTTGCTAATACCTATGATCCTTCAAGGGATGTGCTCAAAGAGGAGTTCAACATCATGAATACAATATAGTGTTTTATTTTACAAATACCATTATAAACACAAACTTACGTCGTAAGAAACATTATTTTAATAACGAAACTGCTAAATTCTTTCCAACGGTATGGATGTGTAGTGTATTTTTTCCGAGTGGGTTTGCCGTACTTTGACGTCATCGGCAGTCGAAGGACCCCGAGCCGATCTTGCACCCGAGCAGATCCTGTACCGACACCGGTCAGAGCAGCACAGGAATCAGTCATCGGTATCGGCCCTCAGAAACAGAATCAGTTCAACCGTAATTGAAACTGTAACTAAAATAGGTTTTAGCACAATAATGTTAACTTTTATGATACGGGGAAGTGAAATAAACAGTATGAATAAGCTGTTCATGTGTGAAGAAATCATTACAAGGGTGTTGATTTTTGCTGTACAAGTCTTAAAACACCGAATAGAAAGCTGCTTAAAAAAAATTCTGCAGCCTTTTTTTAGATTTTAAATCCATATTCTTCATCATGACCGGTGTTTCACGTAAATTTGACCTTTAACCTTAACATTGTTGTTTCAGTACGTGTTTTATACCACCTACAACATGCTGGATGTCTTATCTCTGTCAGCAACACTTACACGTGTAGTTTTTACCAATAATTCCTGGAAACATCCATCAAAGTGTTGTTAAAGAAGAATGAAATGATGCCCAGTTGTTGAAAAATACTGGCGGCTTTGTAACATAAAACCATAAAAATCAGGTCTAAAATACACAGGAGTGGGTCTAAGTCTCTGGGCGACGCCATTTTTCCTTCTACGGGAGCCCATGAGGACAAAATGCATTTACTGATTTGAAACAAACAGTTACAAAACCGTCGCCATTCATGAACTTTGTTGTTTTACACATTTACCTCTCCACTTGTTGCCAGTGATGAAAGGGAGGTGCTGAAGTTTGCACTTTTTGACCCTAACGGGCATCCGTTGGTATGGTGTCTTACTTCGACACAAAAGTACTGCTCGCTTGCAAGGATTTAGGTATCTACTGCCTCCTGTCGGCAGGAAAAATACACACTGTCACTTTAAAGGAGATGTTTGCAGAATATTTTAAGTTCACGCGCACAAAGGGCTCCCTGATGTCCGTGGATCTCTCCTGCAGCAGAAAGACGCGGTGGACTTCTCCTTTAACCCCCTGGCTGACCCCCGCTTCGTGTTTTACGACCACTCCCTGGTGGAGGCGGTGAAGCTGGAGAACCCAGAGGTCCACGCCTTCTTCAGACTTCTGGCGCTCTGCCACACCGTAATGGCCGAGGAGAAGAAAGGTGAGGGGGGAGTAGAGAGTCTGCTTCCTGTCTAAGCTCACTGATGACCTCTTGCTTTCTGCTCCAGGTGAGCTTCTCTATCAGGCCCAGTCACCAGATGAAGGAGCGCTGGTGACCGCAGCCAGAAACTTTGGGTTTGTCTTCCGCTCACGAACACCAGACAGCATTTCCATCGTGGAAATGGGGAAGCAGCAAAGCTACCAACTCTTGGCCATCCTGGATTTTAACAACGTTCGTAAGAGGATGTCGGTCATCGGTAAGCCCCCAGAAACACACAGATGCTTTTTATTCAGTGTGGGATCTCATCCAGTCCCGCCCTGATGACCTTCATGTGTGCAACAGTACGAAGTCCAGAAGGGAAGCTGTGTCTTTACTGCAAAGGTGCCGACACCATCGTCTACGAGAGGCTTCATCAGTCCTGCAGCAAGATGATGGACGTCACAACCGAGCACCTCAACGTCAGTCACATTCACATCTCTTCTAATCTGTTCTAATCTGTTTTAATCAGTTCACATCTGTTCTAATCTGTTCTAATCTGTTTACATCTGTTCTAATCTGTTTACATCTGTTCTAATCTGCTCACATCTGTTCTAATCTGTTTTAATCAGTTCACATCTGTTCTAATCTGTTCTAATCTGTTTACATCTGTTCACATCTGTTCTAATCTGTTTTAATCAGTTTACATCTGTTCTAATCTGTTCTAATCTGTTTTAATCAGTTTACATCTGTTCTAATCTGTTCTAATCTGTTTTAATCAGTTTACATCTGTTCTAATCTGTTCTAATCTGTTTACATCTGTTCACAACAGTTCTAATCTGTTTACATCTGTTCACATCTGTTCTAATCTGTTTACATCTGTTCTAATCTGCTCACATCTGTTCTAATCTGTTTTAATCAGTTTACATCTGTTCACATCTGTTCTAATCTGTTTTAATCAGTTTACATCTGTTCTAATCTGTTCTAATCTGTTTACATCTGTTCACAACAGTTCTAATCTGTTTACATCTGTTCACATCTGTTCTAATCTGTTTACATCTGTTCTAATCTGTTCACATCTGTTCTAATCTGTTTTAATCAGTTTACATCTGTTCACATCTGTTCTAATCTGTTTTAATCAGTTTACATCTGTTCTAATCTGTTCTAATCTGTTTACATCTGTTCACAACAGTTCTAATCTGTTTACATCTGTTCACATCTGTTCTAATCTGTTTACATCTGTTCTAATCTGCTCACATCTGTTCTAATCTGTTTTAATCAGTTCACATCTGTTTTAATCTGTTTTAATCAGTTCACATCTGTTTTAATCAGTTCACATCTGTTCTAATCTGTTTACATCTGTTTACATCTGTTCTAATCTGTTTACATCTGTTCTAATCTGCTCACATCTGTTCTAATCTGTTTTAATCAGTTCACATCTGTTTTAATCTGTTTTAATCAGTTCACATCTGTTTTAATCAGTTCACATCTGTTCTAATCTGTTCTAATCTGTTTACATCTGTTCTAATCTGTTCTAATCTGTTTACATCTGTTCTAATCTGCTCACATCTGTTCTAATCTGTTTTAATCAGTTCACATCTGTTCTAATCTGTTTACATCTGTTCTAATCTGTTTTAATCAGTTCACATCTGTTTTAATCTGTTTTAATCAGTTCACATCTGTTTTAATCAGTTCACATCTGTTCTAATCCGTTTTAATCAGTTCACATCTGTTCTAATCTGTTCTAATCTGTTTTAATCAGTTCACATCTGTTCTAATCTGTTCTAATCTGTTTTAATCAGTTCACATCTGTTCTAATCTGTTTACATCTGTTCTAATCTGCTCACATCTGTTCTAATCTGTTTACATCTGTTCTAATCTGTTTACATCTGTTCTAATCTGTTCACATCTGTTCTAATCTGTTCTAATCTGCTCACATCCGTTCTAATCTGTTTACATCTGTTCTATGCTTCTCACATCTGTTCTAATCTGTTCTAATCTGTTTACATCTGTTCTAATCTGTTTACATCTGTTCTAATCTGTTCTAATCTGCTCACATCCGTTCTAATCTGTTTACATCTGTTCTATGCTTCTCACATCTGTTTACATCTGTTCTAATCTGTTCTAATCTGTTTACATCTGTTCTAATCTGTTTACATCTGTTCTAATCTGTTCTAATCTGTTCTAATCTGTTTTAATCTGTTTTAATCAGTTCACATCTGTTCTAATCTGTTCTAATCTGTTTTAATCAGTTCACATCTGTTCTAATCTGTTTACATCTGTTCTAATCTGCTCACATCTGTTCTAATCTGTTTACATCTGTTCTAATCTGTTTACATCTGTTCTAATCTGTTTACATCTGTTCTAATCTGTTCACATCTGTTCTAATCTGTTTACATCTGTTCTAATCTGTTTACATCTGTTCTAATCTGTTCACATCTGTTCTAATCTGTTTACATCTGTTCTAATCTGTTTACATCTGTTCTAATCTGTTCTAATCTGTTTACATCTGTTCTATGCTTCTCACATCTGTTTACATCTGTTCTAATCTGTTCTAATCTGTTTACATCTGTTCTATGCTTCTCACATCTGTTTACATCTGTTCTAATCTGTTCACATCTGTTCTAATCTGTTCTAATCTGTTTACATCTGTTCTAATCTGTTCACATCTGTTCTAATCTGTTCTAATCTGTTTACATCTGTTCTAATCTGCTCACATCTGTTCTAATCTGTTTTAATCAGTTCACATCTGTTCTAATCTGTTTACATCTGTTCTAATCTGCTCACATCTGTTCTAATCTGTTTTAATCAGTTCACATCTGTTTTAATCTGTTTACATCTGTTCTAATCTGCTCACATCTGTTCTAATCTGTTTTAATCAGTTCACATCTGTTTTAATCTGTTTTAATCAGTTCACATCTGTTTTAATCAGTTCACATCTGTTCTAATCTGTTCTAATCTGTTTACATCTGTTCTAATCTGCTCACATCTGTTCTAATCTGTTTTAATCAGTTCACATCTGTTCTAATCTGTTTACATCTGTTCTAATCTGCTCACATCTGTTTTAATCAGTTCACATCTGTTTTAATCTGTTTTAATCAGTTCACATCTGTTCTAATCTGTTCTAATCTGTTTACATCTGTTCTAATCTGTTCTAATCTGTTTACATCTGTTCTAATCTGCTCACATCTGTTCTAATCTGTTTTAATCAGTTCACATCTGTTCTAATCTGTTTACATCTGTTCTAATCTGCTCACATCTGTTCTAATCTGTTTTAATCAGTTCACATCTGTTTTAATCTGTTTTAATCAGTTCACATCTGTTTTAATCAGTTCACATCTGTTCTAATCTGTTCTAATCTGTTTTAATCAGTTCACATCTGTTCTAATCTGTTTTAATCAGTTCACATCTGTTCTAATCTGTTCTAATCTGTTTTAATCAGTTCACATCTGTTCTAATCTGTTTACATCTGTTCTAATCTGCTCACATCTGTTCTAATCTGTTTACATCTGTTCTAATCTGTTCACATCTGTTCTAATCTGTTCTAATCTGCTCACATCCGTTCTAATCTGTTTACATCTGTTCTATGCTTCTCACATCTGTTTACATCTGTTCTAATCTGTTTACATCTGTTCTAATCTGTTTACATCTGTTCTAATCTGTTCTAATCTGCTCACATCCGTTCTAATCTGTTTACATCTGTTCTATGCTTCTCACATCTGTTTACATCTGTTCTAATCTGTTCTAATCTGTTTACATCTGTTCTAATCTGTTTACATCTGTTCTAATCTGTTCTAATCTGTTTTAATCTGTTTTAATCAGTTCACATCTGTTCTAATCTGTTCTAATCTGTTTACATCTGTTCTAATCTGTTTACATCTGTTCTAATCTGTTTACATCTGTTCTAATCTGTTTACATCTGTTCTAATCTGTTCACATCTGTTCTAATCTGTTCTAATCTGTTTACATCTGTTCTAATCTGTTCTAATCTGTTTACATCTGTTCTAATCTGTTCTAATCTGTTTACATCTGTTCTATGCTTCTCACATCTGTTTACATCTGTTCTAATCTGTTCTAATCTGTTTACATCTGTTCTATGCTTCTCACATCTGTTTACATCTGTTCTAATCTGTTCTAATCTGTTTACATCTGTTCTATGCTTCTCACATCTGTTTACATCTGTTCTAATCTGTTCACATCTGTTCTAATCTGTTCTAATCTGTTTACATCTGTTCTAATCTGTTCACATCTGTTCTAATCTGTTCTAATCTGTTTACATCTGTTCTAATCTGCTCACATCTGTTCTAATCTGTTTTAATCAGTTCACATCTGTTCTAATCTGTTTACATCTGTTCTAATCTGCTCACATCTGTTCTAATCTGTTTTAATCAGTTCACATCTGTTTTAATCTGTTTACATCTGTTCTAATCTGCTCACATCTGTTCTAATCTGTTTTAATCAGTTCACATCTGTTTTAATCTGTTTTAATCAGTTCACATCTGTTTTAATCAGTTCACATCTGTTCTAATCTGTTCTAATCTGTTTACATCTGTTCTAATCTGCTCACATCTGTTCTAATCTGTCTTAATCAGTTCACATCTGTTCTAATCTGTTTACATCTGTTCTAATCTGCTCACATCTGTTTTAATCAGTTCACATCTGTTTTAATCTGTTTTAATCAGTTCACATCTGTTTTAATCAGTTCACATCTGTTCTAATCTGTTCTAATCTGTTTACATCTGTTCTAATCTGTTCTAATCTGTTTACATCTGTTCTAATCTGCTCACATCTGTTCTAATCTGTTTTAATCAGTTCACATCTGTTCTAATCTGTTTACATCTGTTCTAATCTGCTCACATCTGTTCTAATCTGTTTTAATCAGTTCACATCTGTTTTAATCTGTTTTAATCAGTTCACATCTGTTTTAATCAGTTCACATCTGTTCTAATCTGTTCTAATCTGTTTTAATCAGTTCACATCTGTTGTAATCTGTTTTAATCAGTTCACATCTGTTCTAATCTGTTCTAATCTGTTTTAATGAGTTCACATCTGTTCTAATCTGTTTACATCTGTTCTAATCTGCTCACATCTGTTCTAATCTGTTTACATCTGTTCTAATCTGTTTACATCTGTTCTAATCTGTTCACATCTGTTCTAATCTGTTCTAATCTGCTCACATCCGTTCTAATCTGTTTACATCTGTTCTATGCTTCTCACATCTGTTTACATCTGTTCTAATCTGTTCTAATCTGTTTACATCTGTTCTAATCTGTTCTAATCTGCTCACATCCGTTCTAATCTGTTTACATCTGTTCTATGCTTCTCACATCTGTTTACATCTGTTCTAATCTGTTCTAATCTGTTTACATCTGTTCTAATCTGTTTACATCTGTTCTAATCTGTTCTAATCTGTTTTAATCTGTTTTAATCAGTTCACATCTGTTCTAATCTGTTCTAATCTGTTTACATCTGTTCTAATCTGCTCACATCTGTTCTAATCTGTTTACATCTGTTCTAATCTGTTTACATCTGTTCTAATCTGTTCACATCTGTTCTAATCTGTTTACATCTGTTCTAATCTGTTAACATCTGTTCTAATCTGTTCACATCTGTTCTAATCTGTTTACATCTGTTCTAATCTGTTCTAATCTGTTTACATCTGTTCTAATCTGTTCTAATCTGTTTACATCTGTTCTATGCTTCTCACATCTGTTTACATCTGTTCTAATCTGTTCTAATCTGTTTACATCTGTTCTATGCTTCTCACATCTGTTTACATCTGTTCTAATCTGTTCTAATCTGTTTACATCTGTTCTAATCTGTTCTAATCTGTTTACATCTGTTCTATGCTTCTCACATCTGTTTACATCTGTTCTAATCTGTTCTAATCTGTTCACATCTGTTCTAATCTGTTCTAATCTGTTCTAATCTGTTTTAATCAGTTCACATCTGTTCTAATCTGTTCTAATCTGTTTTAATCAGTTCACATCTGTTCTAATCTGTTTACATCTGTTCTAATCTGCTCACATCTGTTCTAATCTGTTTACATCTGTTCTAATCTGTTTACATCTGTTCTAATCTGTTCACATCTGTTCTAATCTGTTCTAATCTGCTCACATCCATTCTAATCTGTTTACATCTGTTCTATGCTTCTCACATCTGTTTACATCTGTTCTAATCTGTTCTAATCTGTTTACATCGGTTCTAATCTGTTTACATCTGTTCTAATCTGTTCTAATCTGCTCACATCCGTTCTAATCTGTTTACATCTGTTCTATGCTTCTCACATCTGTTTACATCTGTTCTAATCTGTTTACATCGGTTCTAATCTGTTTACATCTGTTCTAATCTGTTCTAATCTGCTCACATCCGTTCTAATCTGTTTACATCTGTTCTATGCTTCTCACATCTGTTTACATCTGTTCTAATCTGTTTACATCTGTTCTAATCTGTTTACATCTGTTCTAATCTGTTTACATCTGTTTACATCTGTTCTAATCTGTTTACATCTGTTCTATGCTTCTCACATCTGTTTACATCTGTTCTTATCTGTTCACATCTGTTCTAATCCGTTCTAATCTGTTTTAATCAGTTCACATCTGTTCTAATCTGTTCTAATCTGTTTTAATCAGTTCTAATCTGCTCACATCTGTTCTAATCTGTTTACATCTGTTCTAATCTGTTTACATCTGTTCTAATCTGTTCACATCTGTTCTAATCTGTTCTAATCTGCTCACATCCGTTCTAATCTGTTTACATCTGTTCTATGCTTCCCACATCTGTTTACATCTGTTCTAATCTGTTCTAATCTGTTTACATCTGTTCTAATCTGTTTACATCTGTTCTAATCTGTTTACATCTGTTCTATGCTTCTCACATCTGTTTACATCTGTTCTAATCTGTTCTAATCTGTTTACATCTGTTCTAATCTGTTTACATCTGTTCTAATCTGTTCACATCTGTTCTAATCTGTTCTTATCTGTTCTAATCTGTTCTAATCTGTTTACATCTGTTCTAATCTGTTTTAATCTGCTCACATCTGTTCTAATCTGTTTACATCTGTTCTAATCTGTTTTAATCTGCTCACATCTGTTCTAATCTGTTTACATCTGTTCTAATCTGTTTTAATCTGCTCACATCTGTTCTAATCTGTTTACATCTGTTCTAATCTGTTTACATCTGTTCTAATCTGTTTTAATCTGCTCACATCTGTTCTAATCTGTATCTGTTTTAATCAGTTCACATCTGTTCTAATCTGTTTTAATCTGCTCACATCTGTTCTAATCTGTTTACATCTGTTCTAATCTGTTCTAATCTGTTTACATCTGTTCTAATCCGTTTATAACTGTCCTAATCTGTTTTAATCTGCTCACATCTGTTCTAATCTGTTAACATCTGTTCTAATCTGTTTACATCTGTTCTAATCTGTTTTAATCTGCTCACATCTGTTCTAAACTGTTTACAACTGTTCTAATCTGTTTACATCTGTTCTAATCTGTTCTAATCTGTTTACATCTGTTCTAATCTGTTCTAATCTGTATCTGTTCTAATCTGTTCAACACAAGGGAAACTTTTATCACCTTTCAGGTTGTAAAACTAAAGCTCACCAGTTTATTCTGGTTTAGGTATGAAACACATATGAAAACGGTAACTAACCATTCCAACCAATCAGCACTTCTTCTCTCTGCAGCCTGTGGATTTAATCTTGAACAGGAAAATATTCAGAGGACGTGAAAATCCTTGGAAGTGCTTGATTTTAGTCTTTCCAAGGTTTTGAGAGTGAAAATAGTTTTAGCTCACTAATGTTTAAATGTGATAAAGAAAGTAATTATAATAATAGTAATTATTGTTTTAACAGCCTTGTGCTCCTCATGCATTGTTGTCTTTCACCGTTAGCTTTTCAGATAAACGTGCTTTAGTTGGATTTGGGCTCAGAACTGCATGTTGCCGGTTTCAACATTTAGTCGTTTTTCTCAGAATAAACTTTTATTCTCATGATTATGAAAAAACTTTTGGTCTGGGGCTCATTTACACAGCTGGGCATACGAGGTTTATTATGTTTATATCTTCAAATACCATCAGTGCACGCACACACACACACACACGCACGCACACGCACACACACACACACACACACACACACACGTTCATCCTTATAAGCATGTGCCTGCTGATCTGCAGGAATTTGCAGGAGAGGGCCTGCGGACTCTGGCTCTTGCCTACAGGGAGTTGGACGAGGACTACTTCATTCAGTGGAAACAGCGCCACCATGAGGCGAGCATATCGCTGGAAGACAAGGACGGTAAACTGGACGAGCTGTACGAGGAGATCGAGAAGGACCTGCTGGTAGGAGGCCAAAGAAACGGTGGATTCAAGGAAGCGTGAAAGAGGGCAAATGAAACGGGAGCTTTGTTTTGTGTCTGCAGCTGCTTGGAGCGACGGCCATAGAGGACAAGCTACAGGACGGCGTTCCTCACACCATCGAGCAGTTGTCCAGAGCAGACATCAAAATCTGGGTTTTAACTGGGGACAAGCAAGGTATTCACATCGTGTGTGACTGAGGTCTACACGAACCACTGTGGAAGGGGAAATGAAATTCAACTTGTTTGGGTTTGAGGCGGGTTTTGGTTCGGGCGACGGTGGCACAGGAGTTAAGCGCTCGCCCTGTAATCGGAAGGTTGCAGGTTCGAGCCCCGCTCAGTCTGTCGCTGTTGTTGTGTCCTTGGGCAAGACACTTAACCCACGTTGCCTGCTGGTGGTGGTCGGAGGGATTGGTGGCGCCAGGGGTGCCATGACTCTAGAAGGCGCTATATCAAATACAGTCCATTTACCATTTGAATCCAAACTTTATTTTTATTATTGAAACAAAATAATTGATTATTGGCTGTATTTCATTTTTACAATTGGGCCAATTTTAATCATTTTCAACATGCTGGTTTGGAAGATCTAAAAAGGTTTCAAATAGCTGAACCGAATAGGCGGATTGGTGCTGCGTCTGCTGTGATGCGGGTGTTTTGATCCGGTCTGTCGTGGTGAAGAGAGAGCTGAGTCAGAAGGCGAAGCTCTCCATTTACCACTCGATCTACGTTCCTACCCTCACCTATGGTCACGAGCTTTGGGTAGTGACCAAAAGAACGAGATCGCGTATACAAGCGGCCGAAATGAAATTTCTCCGCAGGGTGGCCGGGCTCTGCCTCAGCAGGGTATCCGCGGAGTCTTGAAAGTAGTAAAAGGTGAAAGTAAGACCCTTAAAAAGTATTAAAAAGTCTTATCACAGCTTTATAAAGTCTTAAATTTTGAAATGATTTTTTCTGAATTAACCGTCCACCAGTTTGAATCCCTAAAACATTGTAAAAGTGAGTACATTTAGTCATTTTTATTTAATAAACGAACAGGGTATTGTGGGTGCATTCATGGACGTAATTTTCACTTTAGAAGTGGGGGGGGGGGACATGTGTGTGTGTGGGGGGGGGGGGGGAGGGGTCTTTACAGTATGTTCTAATGGGAAACAGGCTTCAACACAAATGGTTGTTTTCTGCTTGGTCCTAGAGCTCAACCAGTGCCAATTTAATATAAGGTATTGGTAAAAAGTGCAGGGGTGAAAACTTGACTTTGGAGAAAGTGGGGGGGACATGTCCCCCCTGTCCCCCCCCAAAATTACGTCCATTGGTGCATTAGTACTTTTCCTGTCAGAGCACTAGGGCGGGCGGGGTGAAAGTTCAAAACCACAATGCATGCTCTGGTGTTCCCGGTGCGTACTACGAATGCTTTTTTTAGTTTTCTTTCCTAAAAACTGATAATGCTGCTGAAACGAAACCCTTGGATTTGCAGCAGTTCTGGATTTAAAGCCATCTGGTATGTTTTTATTTTTTACTTTGGTCTGGATTTAAAGTTTTTTATGATCCTCCTTTGTGGATATTCATGTTGCAGAAACTGCAGAAAACATCGGCTACTCGTGCAACTTGCTGCGAGAAGAGATGAACGAGGTTTTCATCATCTCAGGAAACTCGTCTGAGGACGTCAGAGAAGAGCTGAGGTTGGAGGAAGTTTTAAAATCTGCTTAAAAGACTGTTTCTTATCATAATATCCATCTATGTTTTTATTTTATCCTTTCATCCGGGGCAGAAATGCACAGACCTCCATGAAGCCAAGTGCAACGGAGAACTCTGGAGCTTCCCCAGAAGAGACGAGTGAGAGCGTGAAACTGGTGAAAGACGAGGCGGTTAGTGGAGAGTACGGCCTCGTGATCAACGGACACAGTCTGGTATTTATTACAACTTCCTGCTTAAACAAATGGTAGAATGTTTCTGGGTCAGTTCTGTCCGACAACTTCCTGTTTTTTCCACCGTCAGGCATTCGCCCTGGAGCGCAGCATGGAGCTGGACTTCCTCAGGACGGCCTGTCTGTGTAAATCTGTGATCTGCTGCAGGGTGACTCCTCTGCAGAAGGCTCAGGTGGTCGAACTGGTCAAGAAATACAAGCAGGTGGTCACGCTGGCCATAGGTGATGGAGCCAATGATGTCAGCATGATCAAAGGTACCAGAAAAATACCTGAAACTTCTGCTTTCTGTTTGTCAGAAGTGGAAAATCTCCTAAAACTAGAAGAAGCCTTCTGAAAAAAATTAAGTTAAATTTTAAAGCAATCTTAAGATCATCTTGAAGATGCTGTAGTCTGAACTCTGACAGCTAACAGGAAAAAACTGGATGTTCTGCCTATGCAGTTTATATTTTATTCATCTATATTTAAAGGGGCATTATGGAAGTCTGACATCCAAAACATGTATAGAAATAATAAATGTCTTCTTCATACGTTCTCCTGCAATGCCCTGGTCCTGTAGAATGAGCCCTGGCATTTTTACTGTGATTGCCTGTTTTTCTGTAAAATCACAGAAAAAGAGAGATGCTCGGGTCGAGCAGGCTGCTTCATGCGCGTTCACGCTCAGGCATCGCCCGTAGCGTTTGCTATCCGTAGCTTTAGCAGCAGAGAGAGAGGCAGTGCCACTTTGTCGCTGTTCCTAACGCCTAGTGACAAAGCTAGCTACATTTCTGAGGACCCTTAGCTACTTTCTGTAGAACTTTCTTCTAGATATTTCCTGCTAATTAGCAACAAAATAGCCATTTTCACTCCGAACCGTTCTTTGAACGTTGTTTCAGCTGTCATCAAGGATATAAATGTTACAGATACAAAGGATGTCACTGGTGCTTTAGCTCAGCTAGTAAGATGACGGACTCTTGT